CTCGATGGTCCTCGCTGGCGAAAGATGCACACGTCCGAGCGATGCCAAGCCCCTTGCTCGGGCGAGAAGTCTGCTGCCCCGAATATCTCTTCGACTCTGAAGCAGCGCCATCACGCTCACTGGGGGCCTCCCACATGGGGTCCGAACAGATGGGGTCGGAGGATCGCGCCGCCTCGCCGATGCATCGGCGATGCATCGGGCGATGTCGGCGTTGCATCATTGGTGTCGGCGCGGAGCAGATCGGGATCCATATCGAGCTGCCTCGCCGACGCGGGCGATCCTCCGACCCTTTGCTGGCGGCGGTGGTGGATACTGGTCCTGATAATGGTGGTGGGGGTCAGTGCCAAAGTTGCCCTCGACCATCGCGGCTCGAGGAGGGACACTTTCGAGCGTCGGACCTCCGGGGATCAAGATCCAGGTCGGCAGCAAAACGTGCCAGGTGCCGGTGGTGGTGGATTGTACTGGGCCGCAAGAGGCAGATCCAACTGGGGAGAATGGGCGACACGCTTTCCTAGCATGGTCCATGCCTGGGGCTGCTTCTTCGTGTTGACCTCCACACAGAAAGACACAGTGTCGCCCACCACGCACTGGCCCAACTGTTTCTGGTGCAAGAACACGTCCCGCTGGTACGTCTCAAAAGTCGCCTCGCACTCGATGAAGCCGAACCCGCTCTCGGCGCTGAACGAGCGCACGGTGCCCACGAAGCTGTCCGGTGGAAGCCGCGGCGAGTCAGTCCGAGCGGCGCCAGCAGCACCGGGCGAGCCAGCATCTCCGCACACCGCAGACCCGGCGGGGGCCGCGTAGAAGGTCTGCTTCGGGGGCCGCTCGTCGGCCCGCGGCTCCTCGGGGCTGTCGGGGCCGTGGGAGCCGAGCTCCTCTGCCGGCAGCTCGGCGTCGTCGGCGTCCTGTGCCGCCTCGTCGGCCACGTCGTCGCCGTCCACCTCCAGGGCGCCGGCCTCGTCGGCAGCGTCGTCGCCCTCCGCCTCCCCGTCGTCCTCCATACTGCTGAAGTGCTCCGTCTTCTTGACCCTCGCCTCGGGCAGCCGGATCGAGACCACCTCCTCGTACAGGTTGAACTCGAGCGAGAAGTAGCGGAAGAAACCGTACAGGAGCTCCAGGACCTCAGAACCCGCGCGGCCGGGGCTGACTCGAGGGCCTGGTCCTTGGGAGGCAACTCCTGGAGGATCTTTATGGGAACGGTTCAAGGCTAGTGAGCCCGATGAGGAGGGACATTGGGCCATATTATGCCGCCGAGATGGATGAGCCCGAAGTAAAGCGGGATTCAAAATGATTATCCCGGGTTCAACAAATTTCCCAAAGACCCGAAGCCATGTTTTTTCAATACGTGGTCCCCAGTCAGACCCACTGCATGCCCCTGGTCTTCGCGCGCCAGCCTGAGATTGGAGTAGAAGCCACAGTGCCCAGATCCCCCTTCCCGACCAGCATCGCAGTCAGTGGCCCCTGGAGGTCACCTTCGACGGAGGGACGCGCTCCCTCGCGGGAGCAGGAGCCACGCTCTGGCAACATGACCACCATGGCGCACCGCCGACACGGCTCGCCTCCTGCGTGGTTTGCCGTCCCCGGCACGGGCCATGCACAGGTCGCTGAGACTACAAACCGTCGCGCTGGTCTGGGCATGTTGGCGTCGCTGACCCCCCCCAGCCTCGTCGCGAGGGTGGTCGGCGACAACCTGGCTGCCGTCAGGCACGGCGCTGGCACGGGACGGTACGGGAGGGCGCCGGCACAGGACGGCACTGGAGAGCGCACCTCTGCGCCCAAATGAAGCGACGCCGCAAGCCGCTCGCTGCGCGCGGGTGTGCCCTTGCCTGGCAGTCCTTCCAGCGCCTGTGAAACAAAGCGAGCGCCCTGCTTGCGACCCCGGGTGCTCTGTCGGCTGACTGGCTCGGGCATGCCGGGCGCAACGATGTGGCCATCTGGACTGTCTGGCATCAGGTCGGGCATGTCCCCCTACAGGCCGCTTCTGGACGAAGAAAGAAAAATACCCCCAAAATATAAAAAAAAATTGAAAGATCGTCCCCAGACTATTTTTGGACACTTTTTGAATATTCTCTCTCTCTCTCTCTCTGTAGAGGGACAGGCCCGACTCAAGTCTGGCATCGAGCTCCCGCCTCCCCGCTCTCGGACCGCTCTCCGCGGGACAGCACGCGCTTCACGCCCGGCCGGCTCTGGCCCCGCAAGCGAGCTTGTCTTGGGAAGTCGAGCGGCTGGAACTTCCGAGACGCCGGGTGGTTCGAGGCCGGCAAGAGGTGCGGGCCCGAGGACACCCACGCAAGGGCAGAGGACGCCGACTCCTCCGCAACCTCCTCAACTCATCATCCTTCCTCCTAATCCTCCTCCTCCTCTCCTTCTACCACTCCTCATCCCTCATTCCAGCACCTCCGACCCTCCTCCTCCGCCGGTACTCCTCCTCCTCCTCCTCCTCCTACCCCACCCCTCCCCCTCCCCCTCTCCCCCTCCCCTCCCCTCCCTGCCCCCCCCCCTCCCCTCCCCTGTCCTCCCCCTCCCCCTCCCCTCCCCTCCCCCTCCCCCTCCCCTTCCCCTTGTCCCTCACTCCCCTCCTCCTTCATCCTCCTCCCTCCTCTCCTCCCTCCTTCCTCCCTCCTCCCTCCTCCTCTCCTCCTCTCCCACATCCTCCTCATCATCCTATCTCATCCTCCTCCTCCTCCTCCTCCTCCTCCCCCTCCTCCCCTCGGGGGACTGGGCGGGGCCCTCCGATCGGATCGCCGCTGTGATCGCGGGCTACTCGGGTGCGGGACTCCTTGCTGGCGGCTGGCACCTGGTGTCTCTTTCTCGCCGTGGCTTCGGCCTTTCGCCGCCCTGGTTTGCTCTCTGGTCCCTGGTCATGGCGGAGACTCGTTGGCCCCAGTGTCAACCCTGCGCCCCGGAGCCACCAGTCAATCCCAAGACGGCAAAGAAGATCTTCAAAGCTCGCGAACGCCCCTGGACGAGGTGGGTCTTTACCGACAGCTCTGGCTGGTTGTGGCTTTGCGACGCCTGGGGCAAGCATATTAAGGACTCTGCCCACTCTGCCTCTGCTGAGCACCGCAAGCAGATGGTGCAGACCCAGATCGCCACGGCTGCAAGCCCCCCGAGCGGCTTCCCAGGTCCGATTTCCTTCACGCAGGGTGGTGGTCGCCAGAACGGTACGGCGGACACGTCGGCGATCCCCAGGTTCCCTGATGATGGGTGGGTGTGGGGATGCGACGTTGGGCCGCACAACCTACCGATTGACCCCGCGGAGTACCCCGAGGACTGGGACTGGGTCCCAGAGACGTTCCCGTCCGCTTGGTCCCCAAAGACCTTTTCTCCCCCTGTCGGGGTTGAGGGCGCGAACGGCCGGGCTGTCAACCCATGGGCACAAGCTGGCCCACGCAGCTCCCAGGCCCTCTCCGACGAGCAGACCCAGGCTGGACAGGCACTCACGGCGGAGCCCCGACGTGGAAGACCAACAGCGCTTCTGTCACGCCACCAACCCAAACCCCCGACGTCCTGATTTTTTCATAACGTCGACCCTCAGGGGTCCCGACCCATTCCCCGGGACCGATTTTTCATCCAAAGTCATTTTTTAACGGTCCCGAGGGCCGGCGAGGGCCCCCAGAGGCGGAAAATGGCGAAAGACCTCCCGTCATGTTTTTTTCATCACTCGAGGGGGTCCGGGAAAGAGGCCTCCGCCTCCCCTGGTGCCAGTCTCGGCCGCGCATGTGGCCGCCCCGGGCTCGAGCACTGCTCCTGCGCCCAGGAGCCAGTGCGTCTCGGCTACGGCTCCTGACCAGGAGCGCTCGGCCCCTCCCTGGCCGCCCACGGCAAGCCAGTGGCCTGCCCTAGGACGCGCGGCCGTGCCTCGGCTAAATCGCAGGGGCCAGCCCGCTCCCAGACACCTGGTCTCGGCTCGCACGAGAACACGGGCGCACCCCGGGCCGCGTGCTCAAGGCGGAGCACCTCGACTGCCTGCAGCCTGAGAGCGGCTGTACGCCGACAGCACGGCGGGAGCTGCGGGCTCCTGCGCACGCGGCGCAAGGCACCATCTCGTGGAGCGCCAGCATTTGCACTGGCAGCTGAGCCACTGTGAGCCCAGCGTGACGGACCAGTCCATCCCCACCTGGCCAGACGACTATGCGGGCGGGTGGAACGCAAGGGACCTGGACGCAAATGGGCACATCTCACTTCTGATATCTAAGCGTTTACCGCTGAGCATCTAGGATCATTCATGGTAGTGTGGCCTCCACACCCAGGAGGATCCGTCCCTGGCCCCCTGGACCCCTACCCAGAGCAGGTGGCCTTGGCCCGACGGAACACCAAGAGACACGGCCCTTTCCACCCGGATGACCGCACAGCGCAGCGGCCGCCCAGCCCTGACAACCCGTGGTACTGGCCCGGGGACCGGTTGTGCATCCAGAATTGTTTCTTGATGGCTCCAGGGCCCTGGCAAAGGCCTGCAGAGGCAGAAACCTGCCAACAATTTGAGGTTATGATTTTTCCGCGATGCGAGGACGCCAAGGACGGTCACTCTGGCGAAGGGGAAACCCAGGCGCGCACGTGACCATAGTAGGAAGAAGGCGAAGCTTTTGAGATGCTGGGCGATCTAGAGTCGCATATGCTTAGTGCACTGGGGACTTGAGTTAAGTCGACAGGGCAGGGTCGCGCGAGCCCCCTGATGGTGGGGTAAACCACATACCGACGTCGTGTGATCCAGTGCTGGGAGCATGCCGGTGGGCCCGCACGTCCGACGTCGTGTCCTTTCGCAGCATGGCTCCCCCGAGGCCTGGACCCCCCCCCCCGGGGGCTGGATCTGTGCCTCTCGAGGCGTCTTTCGACGGCCCGAAGGGGCCCTGGCAGGCGTCCCCAGAGGCCGACAGCGGCCGTCTGGGACGATGCGGGCCCCCCCAGCCTCGCCATCGCTCGGACGTCCATTCCCTGTGCTTTGTTCGGTTTCGTGCGTGGTTTTTTCGCCAATTGATCAAGGATGATCCTCGATGGTCCTCGCCGAAGGAAAAATGCACACGTCCGAGCCGCCCGAGGGGAAGAGGAGGGGGAGGAGGGGGAGGGGGAGGAGGAGGAGGAGGAGGAGGAGGAGGAGGAGGAGGAGGAGGAGGAGGAGGAGGAGGAGGAGGAGGAGGAGGAGGGGAGGGGAGAGGGGAGGAGGAGGAGGAGGAGGTAGGAGGGAGGAGGAGGAGGAGGAGGAGAAGGAGGAGGTGGAGGAGGAGGAGGAGGAGGGGAGGAGGAGGAGGAGGAGGAGGAGGAGGAGGAGGAGGGGGGGGATAGCAAAGGGCAGGGTAGAGAATCGGCTCACGTGGCTGATTTTCCCAGCGCCTCCCGGCGCCGGGAGGCGCCCGTGTGTCGAGGAATGGGCCTGGCGGCGGGGCCGAAGCCAGCTGCATGCAGCAGATTTCGTACCCCCCCCCTTTCCCTTTCCTCCTTTTCGTTCGGCCCGAGACACCTCCCGGGGTCCCATCCCGACCTGTCTTTCGAGGCGGATGCAGCCGCTGCGACGAGAAGCCTGCGGGAAGCCCAGACAAGGCGAGCAGCACTCCCGAGAAACGCCTTGCGCGGAGATCTGGCGACGCGAGAAGCCTACAACATCGCAACAAGTCACGGCCAGAGTCCCAGGCCCCATCCTTCTGAGGCACTTTCGAGCGGCATCGATTCGTGAGGGTCCCCGGGCCCGAAATCTTGCGAAACCGCCCGGATCGAAAAACATGCAACGCCAGGATCTCAGGGCTCCGCGTCACGAGAAGCCCACCCCCCGCGACGGAGGGCACGCACAGGCCGAGCGGGCACAGCGCAGGCCGAGCGGCCGATCGGCGGCCGACCGGCGCGGTCGAAGTCCGAGGCTGGCGCCCCGTCGGAGTTCGGGGCGGTGCCCAGCCACCAGCTGAGGTGCTCGGCCAGGGGCACGCGGGCCTTTACCTCCTGCGGGTTCAGGAACCAGACGTCGTGCCTGCAGGGGGGCAGGCAGGGGGAGGAGGAGGAGGATGAGGATGAGGAGGATGAGGAGGATGAGGAGGATGAGGATGATGAGGATGATGAGGATGAGGATGAGGATGAATTTGAGGATGCGGATGCGGATGCGGATGATGATGATACTGCTGCTGCTGATGATGCTGATGATGATGTTCTGCTGATGATGATGAGGATGATGATGATTATTCTGATTATGATAATGAGGATGATGATGAGGATGAGGAGAAGAAGGAGAAGGAGGAGGATACATATGATAAGGATGATGGTGATGCTGATGATGATGCTGCTGCTGATGATGATGATGAGGATGATGATGATGATGATGATGATTATGATTATGATGATGATGATGATGATGATGATGATGATGATGATGACGAGTAGGAGGAGGAGGAGGAGGAGGAGGAGGAGGAGGAGGAGGAGGAGGAGGAGGAGAGGGGAGGAGGTGGAGCGAGGAGGCGGAGGAGGAGGAGGAGGAGGAGGGGGAGGACGAGGAGAGGAGGAGGAAGAGGAGGAGGAGGAGGGAGGTCGTGGTAGGTGGCTGGTGGTTGGGTGGTGACGGTTGCTGGCGACCGGGCGAACTAATTCTTCCGCTTCGCGCCCCAGACCCCCTTCGCTTGGGCTTCACCCAGCGCTCCGCGATTTGGCCAGCAGCCCAGTGCCAATGGAAAGGGAGGAATTATGTATTTTGGAAAAGGATGGAGGAGGAGGAGGAGGAGGGGGGAGGATGACGGCGAGAAGGAGGAAACAGGGTGGATGAGGAGGGAGGGAGGAGTGAGAGGTGGATGAGGAACGGAGGCGGAGGAGGAGGAAGGAGGAGGAGGAGGAGAGGAGGAGGAGGAGGAGGAGGAGGAGGAGGAGGAGGAGGAGGAGGAGGAGGAGAGGAGGAGGAGAGGAGGAGGGGAGGAGGAGGAGGGGAGGAGGAGGTGGAGGAGGAGGGGAAAGGAGGAGGAGAGGAGGAGGAGGAGGAGGAGGAAAGGGAGGAGGAGGAGGAGGAGGTGGAGGAGGAGGAGGAGGAGGAGGAGAGAAGGTGGATGGAAGGCGGCGGGGGAGGGGGAGGGGGAGGAGGAGGAGGAGGAGGAGGAGGAGGAGGTGGAGGAGGAGGAAGAGGAGGAGGAAGAGGAGGAGGAGGGAGGAGGAAGCGAGGACGAAGCGAGGAGGATGGGGGAGGAAGAGGGGGAGCAGACGGGGGAAGAACACTATTTTGGCATTAACGGCCAATGGCCCAAATGACATGAGACAACAATGCAAACGTCTCGACTCAGATCTCACTCTGCTAGGGGTGGAGACCCTTGCCGAGCTGCCTCCAATTCTCGCTCTTGTGATGCTCAGCGACGGGCTTGCATGCTGTTCAAACGCTTGGCGAGGTGCGCACCAGAGGTGGAACAGCAGCATCGCTGACACACACACACACACACACACACACGTACACACCTTTCGTCACTGCAGTCGAGCACAACACAGCGGTGGCCCAGATCGCGCAGAGGCTGCGGCTGGACTCTGAGGTGCCTGGTGCGCCTTCTGCTCGGCGGCTGCACGCCCAATTCACAGTGCATAGCGCAATCATATTTAAACCATACCTGCTCAGGCGAGAGATTAGAAACAGTTCATGCAAGAGTTCCGAACTTGGCAAAGTTCTTTGATAAGGGGACTTTTTGCACGAGCCATCCAGGAACAACTGCCCCTACCAACTCCTGCCCGCCTGCACGGCGAAGTCTTCGGCTATGTCATCACGGTCGGCATCGAAGTCTGCCGACTGGGAAACGCAAGGAACCTGGGCTGCAAAGGCCTCGTCGTGTCCGACGGGGCTGAACCACCCGTCGCCAGGGTGCTTGAACGTACCAATGTTGAGATGCATGGGTTCAACTTTCGTTAACTCGTGCCTCCTGGCGCGCTCTAGGCCCTTTCCCGGCACAAGTTCCAGCCTCTCCGCTTCAGAAGCTCGGCATTTTTAGCCTGGGGTGACTCGTATCTCTGGACAGACCGCAGAGAGGACAAGTATCATCAACTTCATTCCCCGCGGCGGCAGCTCTGGACACGGGCCAGACTCCTCGGCAAGCCACCGTGCGGATGAAGCCCTAGTCGTGGGCCGAGAACTTCTTACATGAGCGGTCTCCATGACGATGTCGAAACAGAGCCTGGACGCAGACGCTGATTTGTCCCGCGCGGAGTCCCTAAGAAGCTTCAAAGCTTCTTGAGGAGGGCAGGGGAGGTGAGGGTAAGGGGGTAAGGGACGCCAAGATCACCAAGAATCCCGAACGAATTGTCCATGATCCAGTCTGAGCGGGCCGGGGAAACCCGCATGGCCCCCAGCGGCCCTTTGACCGCCCTCCAGCTCGGACAAGGCCCATCGAATGCCTTCGACCAAGAGTCGCGCTGGAAGGCCCCAGGAAAAGTGCAGGGGGTGGCTGCGGTATGTCTGCGCCATACATCACGCGCGCAGCGCAGAATGGGAGCAGCAATTCAGAACCAGGTGGGGTCGCCCTCGTTTCTCGGGAGAGCACAGTTGCCCTCGCTCGGACGTCCATCCCCCGAGCATTTTTCGTTTTCGTACGTTGACATTCTCCCGAGATGATCCAAGATGTTCCTCGATGGTCCTCGCCGAGAAAAGAAGCACATGTCCGAGCGATGCCCAGGAGCCTCACGAGAGAGAGAGAGAGAGAGAGCACAAGGATCGTTCACCCGAGCCCGGCCTTACAGTGGAGCCCGCGAGCCGTCGCACCTCAAAATGTTCACCATCCGACATGCCAGTGACGCCACAACCGTACTAGCAAGCGGGGGGGGCCCCCGCCACGACAGGCTTGCGGGGCAGACGTCGGAAGATCGCCGCCTGGCGATCGAGACGGGCAGTGCGGCGAGAAGCTTTCGAGGCCCTGGACCTGGCCTTCGCGTTCTTCCCCCGCACCCGCGTGGCGTTCTCCCCGCCGTGCCGTCAGCGCCGACATCGATGAGCGACTCTCCGTCAGGGCCCGCCGGAGGCCCGCAGCCATCCTGCAATCGAGAGGCAACTGCCCCGGAGCAGCAGCCCACGGCAGCTTCGGGGGAAGAGGGGGAGAGGATGAAGATGAAGAGCCGAGGTGTTTTGTTTGCACTCTCGTGATCCTTATTCGAGCTGCCCTCTGGAAGCCGCCCAGATCAGGCGGGAGTAGGTGGGCGCAGAAGATCCCCCCCCGTAACGCCGACGCATGAGCGATGCATCGGCGACGTCGGGATGGAGAAAATCGCTGTCCTGGGTCGCGCCGCATCGCTGATGCATCGGCGATGCGGCGCGATCCAGCGACCCCATCCACTCCGCTCCATGTGACCAATTCGCCAGAAAACCGTTAGGTTCTGACAACCGAGCATCGTCCTTACTCCGATCTCCTAGTTCAAGGGTTCCCTTCTCCAAGATATGGTTGACGGACGTTCCCTTTACGAAGTCCTGCGACATGGCCATATTGGTCCGATGAGAGTATGTGATACGCGCGCGCATTTTTGCCAGGACGCCGTTCGCGCCCCACTCCTCCCGTACGGTAGCGGGAAGCAATCAGTGAACACCCCCCCCTGCCCCCCAAACTCAAAGTTGGCACGCGTGGGGGAGACTGCGGTCGAGGTGCAACTCATCAGACCCACCGCCGACTTTGAACACCGGGGGAAGGGGGAGGCGCTGACAGATGAATGTGGCATGAGTCTTCGCTATTTTTTCCGAGACCTGTATGATACCTTGAGCCAAAAGCGCGGGAACGCATTCGTGGGCTCGCATCGGCGCTGGACAAACCTCCCTTTAGTAGACCTCCCCTTAGTGAAAACGGCCTGGGACCGAAACCGATGGACCTGGACCCGCAAAAATGACGGCCGCGGCGCCCTCCTGCGAATCGAAAACGGCCAATTCACTGATCGACGCGTCAGGGTAGGAGGTCTGTCCAGCCCCGATCGCACAGAATGGAAGCAAGGGGGAATGACCTTCACGGCTCCCTCTGCGGCGGGCCCCGGAGCCACCCCGGGCCTCTGCGTGCCGCCCTTCGGCGGAAACATCGCCTCGGCGCGCGGACCCCGAGAAAGATCCCACGGCGCCGCCCATCCGACCAGTACCTGCTCCTGCTGCAGAGGCCGGGGCCCGATTGCTCGACGCAGTCTTCGTTGCTTCGACAGGGCCCGCGGGGCACCCAGCGCTGTTCGCTTGGCCAGCCGGAGTCTTGCCTCAAGTCGGGCGTGTCCCCCTACAGGGGGATTTTCGACGAAAAATAAACAATACCCCAAGAATGATCAAAAAACAGTCCCACAATAGTCTGGGGACTACTGCTTGAATCTTTTTTCACCTTTTTTGGGGGTGTTTTTTGGGGTATTCTTCATCTTTCGTCGAACATCCCCCTGTAGGGGGACAGGCCCGACGTGAGTCTTGCCGCGGCCTGCCTTCGACCTCGTTCCCTCGGGGCTGCTCTCCTGCCGGCCGCTGGGTCGGGCTGCAGAGCGCTCCACGGCTCCAGCTGCTCGGTCCGTGCTCCTGCCGCATCGCGGCCCTCCTCACCGCGGTCGTCCCCTGCGCGACCGCCGGTGCAGTGGCCCGAGCTCGCGTTGTCCCACCAGGACGACGTGGAGCCGTGCCAGGGCGTCGGAGAGGGGCCACGCCCTCCCTCGTTCCTCCACGAGTTCTTGCACGCCCTGCTCCCCTTCTTTCCAATTCCTGTGCTCGGCCACTCCTTCGCACGATCGCCATCGGGACGGTGTAGCCCTTAGCTGCATGATTCTTTCCAGGGTCCACCCACTCCTGGCGTCGGCACGCTTCGATTCGCGATCTTAGCGTCGATCGATTGGTCCGTCAAGTGTTGCCGACTCCTCAATCAGCATAATCAGCATCACTATCTGACATGGGCCGCCTCCCACCCGTCATCGGCACCCGCGGTGCAGCCATGGGTCGCCGGGTCGGTGGGAGCAGGGCCAGCACCGCCCGGGCCTTCGCCAGTGCCCGTCGCCGCAGTATCGTCGGCAGTGTCGCTGCCGCTGCACCGACGGGGCCGTCTGGCGCAGCTGGTGCCCTTGCGACGTGTCTTCCACCAGAAGCACCAACGCCAGAGGCTGTGCTGCGTCCCTGGATCCAGACGAACGCCCTTCAATCGTCAATCGCTGACGCACTTTCCCCATGCCAGGATGGGTCTCCAACCAGCGGTTCCGCGGTCAAGCCGGCCAACGACTGCGATGCTCTTGCATGTCGGAGTGTCAGGGTTGCGATCGTGACCATCAGACGGCCGTGGGAGCGCCCCGCAGCGTCGTGATTGCACCTGGAGGTCTACACATTGTCCATGAGCACCCACTTTTCTCCCAGGGTCCAATGGGCTAAGTGAGCCCTTTTGTGCGCAATCTGGTGAGGCAGAAGGGCCCTTGCCAGGATCGCGCTATCCGGGTCGAGGTGTGTGACAGCCTGCTCGACTAGCACACCTCTCCATGTCTCATGATCGATTTCCTGAGCGTGCTACTCAAGAGACTCTCTGGTGGGATCGCAGAACAGGTTTTTTGGGCACAACTCACTGGGGGCGCACCATCTGTTGGCAACTGCGACTACGAATCCACTTGCAGTGTAAGCTAGCCAATCCTTATATCCGAACGTTCTGTCCTTGGGGAGTGGTCTCTTCCATGCCACGACTATCATAGCCGTGGGCTTCGCTGGGCCGAGATTGCCAATATGCATCTTCAGAGCGGCAAGAGCGTTTTGCCGGGGATTTCGTCTGGTGTCCACATTTCGTACCCCATCGGGGTGGGGGAAAACAAACCGGTGTTCTTTAATTCTGTGTTTGTCGTCTTGATCTTGCTTCCGTGTCGGGACATTGCAGCTGTCATGGCGTTCTTCATGACGTTCGTCAACATGATGATTTTTCGCCACTGTTTCGGATGGTAGCTAGCTTTTTTGACAGCTAACCGTTAGGTTCTGATTTCCTAGCTCAGGGGCTCCCTTTTCCAAGGTACATTGTTGACGGACGTTGCGACATGGCCATCTTGTTCCGTTTAGTTGACGTACAGAGTGTGTGTGTGATACGCGCGCGCTCAGAAACAAAAGAGCGAGAGAGAGAGAGAGAGAGAAAGAGAGAGAGATAGAGAGATGGAGAGAACGAGGCGTGCGTACCTTCCGCCAAGACGCGGCTCGCGTCCCTCTCCTCACGTATAATACCTTGAACCTATAGCGCGGAAGGGCGCGCGTGGGCTCGCATATAATGGAGGCAGAAGGAATGACAATAACGCTGTTTATTTGGGCGGCCTGATCAAGACGCCGGCAGTAAACTGTCAACCTGCTTACCGCGGGTGACCTCGTAGAGCTCCTTGCACGCATGATTGGTGCCTGTTGTTTCTAGTGCGCGCGCCACGGCTGTCGTCGCCGCCGCCGCGGTCTTCGCAAACGTCGGCGAAGCCGACGTCGTCGTCGTCGTCGTCGTCGTCGTCGTCGTCGTCGTCGTCGTCGTCGCCGTGACTGTGGACTTCGGCGCCCCTGATAACAGGCCCGCCTCGTGCGCGTTTGCCAGCCTGGCGACAGGCGGCCCCGTGCAAGAGTAACCTCTTCGGTGCGCGGCCCGCCGATCGCTGCAGGCGCTGCGGCAGTGGCGGCTTGCGTGCTCGGGTCCGGCCACCCCCCGCGCCCCCTCCGACAGCTGCGGGCCCAACCCAGGAGGAGGAGGAGGAGGAGGAGGAAGAGGAGGAGGAGGAGGAGGAGGAGGAGGAGGAGGAGGAGGAGGAGGAGGAGGAGGAGGAGGAGGAGGAGGGCGCAGGGCCACTCTTAGGCGCAGCAGGCACTTCAGCGCTCCTGGCGGCAGGCACGCGCCGCGCGCGTTTTTGGTGGGCCCCGGGGGTGCCCGCCCTCCAGCAGGCACTGCCCGGGAGCGCGGAGCCCGAGCTCCTCCATCACCTCCTCGGCGGGGGCGGGGCTTCGCTGCGACCGCAGGCGCGATCCCTCCTCCTCCTCCTCCTCCTCCTCCTCCTGCTTCTCCTCCTGTTCGTCCTCCTCCTCCTCCTCCTTCTCCTCCTCCTCCTCCTCCTGGGCCCTCGAGGATGAGGAATCCTGGAATTTTTCTCGCCGTTGTTGTGCCCTCCCTGAGCCGTGGGACCGTCAGAAAACAGCCGGGGCGAAAAGCCTCGCCCTCCTCCTCCTCCTCCTCCTCCTCCTCCTCCTCCTCCTCCTCCTTCTCTTCCTCCTCCTCCTCCTCCTCCGCCTTCCCCTCCTTCGTGGGTGGCGAGGGAGGGTGAGGGGGCGGAGGGGGGGGGGGATTGAGCGGACCATGGGTGCAACAAAGACGCGCCGCTCCTCTCTTGGGTGCTGAAGGTTGGGAAGGATCCCCCGGTGCTGCAGGTAGTGAATCACCTCGGGAGGAGGGGGGGGGGGGTGGCGGGCAAACCTCCTCACGCACCCAGCCCTGGTGGCCACTGGTCCCAGAGTTGGGCGGGTGCCCGGGCGGCTGCGGGGAGGAGGGCGGGGGTGGGGAGGAGGACGGAGAGAGGAGGGGGGGGAGGGGGGATAGGGAGGAGAGGCGAGTGAGCAGAGTGACAGCGAAGGGGTGGGGGGGATGGGGAAATGAGGGCGGGGAGAGTGGCGGGGGAACGACGAGGGGCCAGCGGGAAGGGGAGGGGGAGATGCGACGGGAGAGAAGACCCCCCCCCGCTGCTGCAAGAAGTGAATCACCATCAAGGAATACGAATACCTCGGTATCGGGCTGAATCACCAGGCCAGTTACGCCCGCCGGTCGCGTGATCATGGCGCGGCTTTGGTCGCGATGCCGATCGCCGCGCTCGTCAAGACGATCACAGTCCGACCAGTGTGATCGCAGTCGCGCAATCGCTCGACACTGAGACCAGTGATCGCCGATCACGCGATCAACAGTCACAGGGACGAGTAAGACGACAATGTCTCCTTCTCATACCCTCCTCTTGGAGAGGTTGTGGCGTGGCCCCTTGTGGCCGCTTGGCCCTTTCGGGGTCCTCCGTTTGGCGGTGCCCCCGAGCGCTGCTGGCTTTCTCTGGCCGGAGGTGGTCCTGCGCTCGGCGTGGCGCTGCCCACGGTGGTGCCTCGATGAGGCCGACCGGCGTCGTGATCGGTGATCGCCGGTCAGGCGATGGCGATCAGCGGCCACAGGGGCGAGCACGAGGACAGCGTTCCCTCGAACGGCGAGTTGATCCTGCGGCGCTTCGCCCACAGCTTCACCAGCAGGCACAGCCTCACGACGCGCTGGTCGAGATCGGCGTACGCGCGGAGGAGGCGCGAGTTGTAGTAGGCCACCTCCCGGGCGGAGGAGGGCCAGAGGAACCAAAAGCTGAAAGATCATAATTGCTCGGAGGTCCGCACGGATTCCTTGACCAACGTTGAACCCCCTCCCTGGCGCGCGGAGCGCGCCTGGTGTGGCGCCGGAGGCGCCGCGGACCTCATTATGTTCATGCTGTTTTTGATCCGTCGAAGGGGGGAAGTGGCGCTCGTGCCTCAAAAGTTCGTCCAGGGGCAACCTTGAGTTTGTGCACAGAGGTAGCCCCCCACCAAAATGTGGGCCAGGCTGACCTCATCCGAGCCCCCGTCGTCGTCGCCGTCCCCGCTCTGCCCCTTGCCCCTCCCATCCTCCTCCGCATCCTGCTCTTTCTCCTGCTCCTGCTCCTGCTCCTCCTCCTCGTCCTCGTCCTTGTGAACAGCCTCGGCGGCACCAGCAGTAACTCCTTCGAACTATGGCCCAGGCTGACCTCAACAAGCCCCCAAGTATAGCCCGGGGCGATCTCAATGCCCATGCTCCCGCCCTTGGCTTTTGGGAGCGCCCTGGCGGCGCTGCCAACGGCGGCGCGGGGATGCTGAAGCCCCCATGGGCTACCCTGAGCGCCTGGTGAGACAAGCCTGGGCTGCCTCCCGGGCCCTCCTGTGCGCAACCCCAGGTCTTGCCAAGGAGGAGGAGGAGGAGGAGGAGGAGGAGGAGGAGGAGGAGGAGGAGGAGGAGGAGGAGGAGGAGGAAGAGGAGGAGGAGGCGGAAGAGGAGGAGGAGGCGGCGGCGGCGGCGGCGGCGGCGGCGGCGATGCTTGCGGCGGCGGCGATGCTGGGCGACGGGGGCGAGATCTGGCGGCGGCGGCGGCAGCGATGAGAGGGGCACTGCGCAGGGGGCGGGAGGGGGAGGGAGCAGAGGCTTCCTAGATGGGGTCCGAGAAGATGGGGTCGGAGGATTGCACCGCATCGCCGAGGCGGCGCTATCCGATGACCCCATCTGCTCCGACCTCATCTTGGAAGCCTGGAGGGAGGGGGGAGCAGGTGGGGCGGGAGAGGGTGGAGAGCGAAGGGCAGGAAAGGCGGCGAGGGAAGAGAAAGAGAGAGAGAGAGAGAGAGAGAGAGAGCAGTGGGGCTAGCCCGCCTCGTTGCAAAACGAGACGTCCACCTCGAACTCCCGCGGCGAGCCGGGCGCCTGCGACGCCGCGGCCCCCCCCGCCTCTGCGCACCACCTGCACTTCACGATGGGCACCCGGGCGGTCTCCACGAGCTCCACGACGCAGAGGCCGCTCTCCTGAGGGCCGGGCGGCGGGCGGCCCCGCGCGGAGGAGGCAGCGCTGCGGGCGGGGGGCCTCTCCCCGCGAGGGCACTCCCCGAACCCCCGCCCCCGCAAGAAGCGCCCCTGGCCCTTCGTCCGAGGGGCACTGATGTCGAGGGGCGTGCCGCTCGGCCCGAGGGCTGCCTCCTCGCAGGAGGTGGTGGCCCTGTGGTCGTGCAGCTCTCCTCCGGATTTTCTGCCCATTCTGTGTGGGTCTTTGGCCGCGGATGTCAAGCAGCAAATTCCAGGGGCGGAGGCGGCGCGGCGCCAGCGCAGAAAACGGCGCCCCGTGGCAGGCCGTGGCACCACGCTGCGTGCGACTGGCAAGAGGCCGTCGAGAGGCCTCGAGGGGCGGGGCAACGCCCCTCCCCAGGCGCTGCCCCCCACCTGGCCATCGCTCGGTCGTCCATTCCCTGTGTTTTTTTCGGTTTCGTGCGTGGTTTTTTCGCCAAATGATCAAGGATGCTCCTCGATGGCCCTCGTCGAAGGAAAAATGCACACGTCCGAGCGATGCCAAGCCACTCGGCCCGCAGCCCTCTGGGCGCGCAGCTGCACCGGGGTCGGCCGGCGAGTGTCCTGGGGTGGGCGGCGGGTCCTTCCTCTGGCACGGGGTCTCGACATGTTAGCATCCCCGTCCTCCTCGTCGTCCTCCTCGGCCCTCGTCGTCTTCCCCCTCCTGTTCCTTCTGGCCCACACCCTCGCCCCCGAATCAACACTTGCACGCGGGCGTAGATTCTCTCGACGTCGACGCGCCCGGAGCGGCGAAAATGGGGAAGGCACAAGGTTTCGGGATAGTCCGTGGCCCCAGCGCTGAATGGCACCAGCGATTTCCCACTAAAGCGCCGACTTTGACATTCTGGATACGGTTCCAATCGGCTGAATTTTGTGCTCGTGCCCGTGTGTTGTGAAGGGGCCCCAGGACACACAAATAAATACACACCAATAAAACAATTCCACATATTTTCCCATATTTTCTGGGTTTCTGTCTTCCCCCCCACTTCCCATCTTTTCCCATATTTTCCTGGGAGTGGACGGTTGATTGTGTCTGTGTGTTTTTTCCTCTCCTGATGTTGGTGCGCTGGCCAAGTGCCTCGCACGTGGATCGGGACGAGCCCGTCCTGGGCCTCGCTGGGCTTGGAGTGGGTCTGCAGGTTCCCCCAGGATGGGGTCTGGGCACTCACCTCTTTCGCCTCTCCCCGCTCCAAGTGGAGGGGAGTACGGAAGGGGTGAACAGCGAAAGTAAGAGAACATAAGGAACGAGAGGAAGAGGAGGAGGAGGAGGAGGAGGAGGAGGAGGAGGAGGAGGAGGAGTGAGGAGGAGGAGGAAGAGAGGAGGAGGAGGAGGAGGAGGGAGGAGGAGGAGGAGGTGGAGGAGGAGGAGGAGGAGGAGAAGGAGGAGGAGGCGGAGAAGAGAAGGAGAAGGAGCAGGAGGATGAGGTACGACAGGTCTTCGATCACGATGCTGGTCTTATTTGCTGTCTCGCCTTCTACGATGTGCCACAGTACGCCGGTACACGGCACATACCCCCCTGCGCCGTCCTCCGCGCTACAGTCACATGTACTACATGTGCTGTGCTGCGCACGGGGGCACGCCGTATGTTGCGCAAGGGAGGAGGAGTATGGCATGTGCTACGTTAGATGCAGGGCACATCAGCCCGAGTGGCACGCACGGCGTGGGTGGCGCGAGCGCCCTCCACCCCTTCTCCTCCCTCCCGTTCGACCTCTTCCGCCTCGGGGCTGTGGGATTGGTCGGATGGGGCCCCTCAGAGAGGGGAGGGAGGGAGGGGAGGGAGGGGAGGGAGGGAGGGAGGGGTGCCCCTCTCCTTCCTCAAAACGGAAGCTGCGCATCCGGGCGTTGGTGCGCCACGCGGCAGCGCGCGAGGGACCCCCCTGGGGCACAAGGGATCGCTTCCGCAGCGCTGCGAGAGAGAGGAGGCGGAGGAGGAGGAGGAGAAGGAGGAGGAGGAGAAGGAGGAAAAGGAAGTTGAGGACGAGGAGGAGGAGGACGATGAGGAGGAGGGGGAGTTGGAGGAGGATGAGGAGGAGAAGGATGAGGAGGACGTTGAGGACGAGGAGAAGGACGAGGACGAGGAGGAGGAGGAGGACGACAGAGAACACGAGTAAGAACGAAGAGGAAGGCGAGAAAGATGATGATGATGATGATGATGATGATGATGCTGATGATGATGATGATGATGATGATGATGATGATGATGATGATGATGATGATGTTGTTTCGGATGGTCCGGAGGAGTAGGAAATGGGCCAGGAAGAAAAGAGGGAGGAGGAACGAGGCGCAGGCTGAGCAACACGGGACAATCAATGATTGGGATACTGATGATGGTGACGATGATGAAGATGCTGACGATGCTGCTGATGATGATGATCATGGTAATGATGATGATGCTGATGGTGGTGATGATGGTGGTGGTGATGATGAGGATGATAATGATGACGATGACGATGGCAACAACGACGACGATGATGATGATGCTGCTGCTGATGATGATGGTGCTGATGATCATGGTGACGATGATGATGGTGTCGACGATGCCGATGATGACGCTGCTGCTGATGATGATGCTGGTGCTGAATATGGTAATGATGATGCTGCTGTTGATGCTGATGATGCTGATTCTGACGCTGATGATGGCGAAACTTATGGCGATGATGGAGTCGATGATTATGATGAAGATGAAGATGATGATGATGCTGTTTGTGATGCTGCTGACGCTGATGCCGATGCTGATGCTGATGAATACAACGATGATGCAGATGCTGATGGTGATGATGAGGGTGATGATGGTGAGGATGATGATAATGATGATTACGCTGCTGCTGATGATGACGGCGATGGTGATGGTGATGCTAATGATGCTGATGATGCTGACGATGACGACGATGATGGTGGTGGCGGTGGTGGTAAAGATGATGCCGATGATGATGCTGCTGATGACGATGATGGTGAATATGATGTCGTTGATGATGTTGATGATGCTGATGATTCTACTGCTGATGCTGATGATGTCGATGATGGTTACAATGATGTTAAATGATGTCGATGACGATGATGATGGTGATGATGATGATGATGATGATGATGATGATGATGATGATGCTGGTTAAGATTAGGCCAATAATGCTACTGCTGCTGCTGCTGCTAGTGCTGCTGCTGCTGATGATGATGATACTGATGATAATGATGATGAGGAAGATGCTGAGGATGCTGTTGCTTCTGCTGCTGCTGCTGCTGCTGCTGCTGATGATGATGATGATGATGATGATGATGATGATGATGATGATGGTGGTGAGGATGGCGGTGACGATGATGACCACGACCCGCACAACGCCGCGATCGGGGGGCACGGCGCGCCGGCGGCCCCGTCGCCCGCGGCCCGCCGCCTGAAGGGCCGCCGCCGAGGCGCACGTCCGGGGAGGGAGGGGGGGGGGGCTCTGAAGGGGCCCTAGGACACACAAATAAATACACACAAATAAAAGCATTCCCAATCTTTTCCCATATTTTCTGGGTTTTTGTCTTCCCCCCACTTCCCATATTTTCCCATACTTTCTGGGGAATCGACGATTCATTGTGTCTGTGTGTTTTTCCCCTCCTGAGGCTCGGCCGCCCGCCGATCGAGAGGACAATCAAGCCTACGCTCGGCGGCGAGCCTGGGGGCGGGCCCGCCAAGAAGGCTCGGAGGTCCCATGGCCTTCTCGGGCATGTGCTGCGCCTTCCCCGGAGACGCGGGAGCCCTCCCAGAAGGACAGAGGGCTCTTCAGAAGCTCCGCCGCCCTCTGAGAGGGGCCTTCTCCCTCTCAATCCCCCCCACTCGCTCGCCGCCGATGCGCGGATGCCGGTATGTCTTCTGTGCCAAGCGCAGGTGGCGTCCCTGGCACCGCGCAGAAGCATCGGATGAAGGCCGCTCGCACGTGCTGTTTTCTAACACCTGGGAGGGCCGCGGCCGCCCGTTCGCCCTGAGGGCCGCGCCGCCGGCAGCCCCTGGCGCGCCGCCGGCGCGCCGTTGCCGCGTGCCTCGGAGGAGCTTCGGCCTCGTCGGTCGACAGGCGCCACCTCTGGTCCCGACTGAGGTGCAGGGGTCGACCAAAACGGAGTCTTGCGTTCTCGTTCTCGCTCTGGGGCGCTGCAGGAGGAGAGCGGCCCGACCGAGTGCTCCCAGGACACCCTTGTGGCGTAGATCCGGACGCGTGATTGGCCAATGGTGAGCCCAGAATGAGAGCAACACGAAAACGTAGAGCAAACTAAAACGATCCACGAGATAACCCAAACAACGCTTTGGTCGATCACTTCTGAGCTCAGCTGCCCCGATACGCAACACGCAACGCGTCACGTATTGACACGGAACTTAACACGTAGAACACGTAGACTGACAACGTGGGTATGAAGCGGCACGTTCGCCCAAACGTGGGCCAATACGCTGAGCCAACACGTCACGTATTGACACGGGAGTTTTGAAAACGGAACGTGTTGCGCTTCAAAACGTGCGCATTGAGGCAGCTGCGCTGCTGAGGTGTGCGTGCCGCGGCGCCGCGCGGCCCTCGGGGGGCACCGCTGCCCCTGCGCACCCCGAGGGCCACGGCCCCGCAGGGGCAGCCCCAGGGACAGCCAGGGCGGCCCTGCCCTCGGCCCGCGCGGCCCAATGCCTGCTCCTCCGCCGTCGCCGTGCGGCCCTCGCCGCGCCTGGGGCCCCTCGAACGCGCGCCGCCTCGCGCTGCGGGTGCTCCGCGCGCCGTCCTCGTCGAGGCCGTGGGCGCCGCGCCGCGGGCGCGACAGCGCAGGCCAGGGGGCACCGCTGCCGCCGCTCTGGCTCCTGCCCCGCCTGCCGGCCTCGCGGCCGCGGCAGGGCCGGCGCCCGCGGGCGCCCCGTCCGCTGCTGCAGCTGCCCCTGGCGCATTCGCCGGCGCGGCTGCAGGAGGGGGCCGAAGCTGGAGCCGGAGCTGGAGCCGGAGCCCGAGCTCGAGCGCGAGCCAAAGCTCGAGTCCGAGCCCGAGCCCGCGCCAGAGCCTGAGCCTGGGGCCGAGCCTCCAGGAGCTCGAGCCAGAGCCGCCTGCCCCAACCTTGCCCGTCGACCGCTGCCGAGGTTGCACCCAGGCCGCCCTGCACTGGCGCGCTCAGGCTAATTACCGCAACTCCTCCACGCCCATGCGGTGAGAGCCGTGGACCTGAACGAGCCAGCGCTTCGCACGATGCCCCACCCCCGACAATCAGGGCGCAGGCCGCGGGACCGGGCCCAGCCGGCACTGCCTCTCGCGCGCTAGCCGCCCACCGAGCGCGAACGCCGCCCAGTCCTGCCCTCGCCGCGACAATCCAGGCGCGGTGGAGGGCAAGCCCGTCGATGAAGGGGTCGTCGTCGTCGTCGTCGTCGTCGTCGTCGTCGGCGTCGTCGTCGTCGTCGTCGTCGTCGGCGTCGTCGTCGTCGTCGTCGTCGTCGGCTTCGTCGTCATTGTCGCCTCGGTAGCCTCGTAGCGGGTTCTGGAGAAGACGCAAATTGCCTCGCCAAGCTCTCGGGGTATTCCGCAAGCCCGCTGGGGCTCGAGCCCCGCGGCCGATGAGGGTGGGGTGCTCCGCAACATCGGCGGCACCTGCGGTGATGGACTCGCAGAGACCCTCGTCCTCTGGCAGCGTCGCCTGCTTCCCCCCAGAACCCCTCGTCCACGCCAACACATGTCGACCCTCGTCCTTCTCCTCCTCGGTTGGTCGGTCGGTGGTAGGGCAGGAGAAGCTTGCAGCCCATACTCGGATGGGGCGGAGCAGAGAACCAATGCAACGCGTGAAACGCATGCACGTGCAGGGCGGGAGGGGAGGCCGAGACCCGCAACCCAAAGCCCCCTCCGCGCCCACCGCGAAAAAAGGCGCCCCCAGCGGTGTCATCCATCATCCCTGTGAGCTGAGCTGTCGCTGGCCATGTGGAAGTCGACGGACTGACTCAGCGGCCATGTCGTGAACAAGGTCCAGTCACGAATGAAGCACTCATCTTGCTCAAACGTACACACAGGGAGGGCGCGCGAAGCATCATAAGCAATGGGTGAGGCAAGCAGATGGCAAAGCGGCTGGGGATGAGCTTTGGCCCTGCCAGTCGTCCACGCACTCCGCTCACAAAGCCCCTGCAGAGAGACACGCGCACAAGCTCGACGTCAGACTCTTCTGGACTTCCAGTCGGCTGCTCCCCGAAGCATTGGTCAATCCACAATCCACATCACGCAATCAAGCTGAAACGTATCGATGTCCACACCCTGCGCGCCTGCCGCAGACGCTAATCGACGAATCCCCTGAAGTTGCCAACTGGAAGAGATCTCTAGGTTGGAGGGCGAAGGGCCTGATGTTCCATGACGCACGGAGAAGCTTGAGAAAGGAAGAGGCCAAAATGCACAACAACGCGTTGTCGAACTCAATCTGCCTCACTTCCTTCGTGGTGAGGCAAGCGAGTCCGTTCAGTCCCCACAACTGGCCTGGGAAGTCCCCACAACTGTTTTTTTCCCGCCTCCTCCCCCTCCGAGGACGACGGCAGCGAAAACGAGGGCGACAGGAACGACATTGACGGTGACGACTGCCGCGGCGGCGGCGAGCGCGGCTCCCGTAGAGTGACGCCCAGCTTGCGGGCCGCAGCGACGCAGGCGGCGCGCACGGGGCTCTTGGACGCCAGCCCCAGGAACCCCCAGTCCTAAGGGACAGGGGGGGGGGAGGGAGAGGCAAAACTCTCCTCCTCCTCCTCCTCCTCCTCCTTCTTCTCCTCGTGTGAATTGCGGCGGTGGTCATTTCGATACACTTGGATCGACCCCATGCCCGAGTACGACGAGCTCACAGACTTCTAAATCCGCCGCGACACGACCGCATTAGGGGTGAACGGATGAATCGTCATGCAGATACGTTGGTCGGGATCCAAGCGAACCCTCTCGAGACGCCTGTGGAGGAGTACGACGCCGAAGAGAAGGGGGTTCCACAGCTGGCCAGGCAGGAGCCTCCTGTGCGACCTCAAGCACCACCAGACACGGCTTCCCCCCCGCTGCTCAGGCAGCGTCGCCCTTGGCGCCAGGCGGCACCTGTTCGAGCACCTACCTTGCCGAGCTTGCTGGCCTCCAAGGCCATATCTTGCCGTCGGTCGGACGTCCATTTTCCGTGCATTTTTCGGTTTCGTGCGTGTTTTTTTTGCTCGATGGTCCAGGATGCTCCTCCAGGGTCCGCGCCGAGAAAAAAAAACACATGTCCGAGCGATGCCAGGATATCAGCAGCATCGCTCAGGGCCCCATTCACCAACAGCGCATGAACCCTCGCTGCCCAGAACCTCGAGCCAACTCGGCGGCGGCGGCTCCTGCGGCGCCCGCCGCTGCAGCCTCGCGCTCTCCTGCTCGCGCCCAGCGCGCCTCCACAGGGCACCCCCGAGGGCACCCGAGAGCCACGGGGAAGGGCCGAGCGAATCGGGCCGCCACCTCGCGAGGCTGAGGAGACGCACGCGCGACAGAAGGATTGGCGCCCGCGAGCGTGGCTCTCGCGATAAAACATCACCTCCCCCTATCTATACTCCTCCTCCGACCTCCTCCTACCTCCTCTACTACTAATAAGATTCCATCTTTAATACTCACTCCCTCCTCCTCGTAATCAACGTCTCTCCTCCTCCTCCTCCTCCTCCTCCTCCCCTCCTCCTCCTCCTCCTCCCCCTCCTCCTCCCCTCCTCCCCCTTCCTCCCCCCTCCCCCCTCCTCCCCCTCCTCCTCTCCTCCTCCCTCCTTCCTCCTCCTCCTCCTCCTCCTCCTCCTCCTCATCCGCCTCCTCCTCCTCCTCATCTCCTCCTCCTCCTCCTCCTCCGCCTCCTCCTCCTCCCCTCCTCCCCTCCCCCCCCTCCCCCTTCCCCCTCCACTCCCTTCTCCTCTTCCTCCTCCTCCTCCCTACTCCTCCTCCTCCTCCCTCCTCCTCCTCCTCCTCCTCCTCCTCCTCCTCCTCCTTCTCCCGCTGCCCCTCCGCGCCCCGCGCGCGCCTCCCCCGGGCCTATCGTGCCTCAGCCTGCGCTCCCGCGTGCCCCCCCCAACGGCCCGACCGCCGCTGGGGGCCCCGCGGCCGCGGACCAGAGCAGTCAGGTCGCCGCTGCTCTCAGGAGCTCGCCGGAGGGAGGCGCCGAGGCCTCCTCCCAGACGGCCCCCCCCGCCGACACCCCGACCTTGCCAGCCGAAAGCGGGGAGGCGCTTGCAGAAGAAGGGCAGCAAGGGTAGCCGGACCACTCCGCGGGCTAGCATCAACGGGAGCCGTCCAGCTTTCCTGGAGATGCTTCTGATCGGGGCAGCCAGGCAGCAGAGCTTTAGGTTTGGGATCTTGTTCCGCCCATGCTGACGGCCAAGTTTGTCGGCAGTCCAGGCAATTCCAGCTCGCTCTTTCAACCCTAGGGAGATGGTGCAGATCGACTGGCGCGCCATCAATCAATACGCCTTGCCATGCCGTTGAAAAGGCTCTCTGCACTTGCCGATGGGACACCTTCAATTGATCAGACCAGGTCGTTTCGCGTCTGCACTGACGGCTCGGGGGTCTATCGTCAGCCATCGTGCCCAGTAAATTGTTTGGGTCTCCTTCCGCCTCTCTGAGGCTCACTCTCTCTTCCACTCTTTCCTGAGGTGTGTTCTGGCCGGAAATTCGAAGCGAATCCAGCCGAGGCGACGAGACGCCTGTCTTCAGGCTCATCAGAATTAAAGACGTGTCCCAAACCATCGATCCTCTATCCTCCAATTCGAAATCCTTTCATGGTCGCTCCCCAGGACCCGCCGGAGGGCCATCCTGGACCTTTTTTCCCCCAGGACCCGAAACTGGCACCGCATTGGCCGGGATCGAGGACAAACGTTTGGCGCGATGTCTTCGAACTTCGACCCTCAGGGGGCGGGAGGAGGTGTCGGGGGCGTTCACGAGGGGGGGTCGCAAATAATGGCCTGAGGTGGGTGCGCGGCCGAGAGGGAGACCAGGGAACGCGAAAGAAGATGAAGAATAAGCAGACGACTCAAACGAGCAGTACTAGCACTGCGAGAAAAAGAAGATTATAATTCTGACAATATGAAGATAACGGGCAGCCACCATACTGTCAATACTCATCAAAACTAATATCAACAGTACGAACTCATCTACTGATAACACTAGGGGTAGTATTACTAATCATAATACGAAGAGCCATGCTAATGATAACACGAATGCTATCTAACATTAAAGCTAGTCAGAGGAATCGTGCTCATAACCAGGCGATCAAATGCACGACTATAACATCATACGGAACATCAACACACTACTAGTAACGAGAATAATGCGAGTGCTGCGAATATTAATAACGATGAGACTGGTACGAGTCATACTGATACTTTTCTCGCATCACGATTAACTCCAGCACCCACACCCACCCCCCCCGTCCCATCCCCCGCATCCACCACCTCCAACCACCCCCCCGTCACCTCACACTCTCAGCCCCCTCCACCCGCCATACCCCCCCCCCACCCCCCCCCACCCCTCGCAGCAGCATCCCACCCCCCACCCCCACACCACCCACCACACCCCCTCATACCCCACCTCAAACCCACGAAACCCACATACTGATACTATCAACATTACTACTGCTACTACATATAATACAAACAATACTTATTCTAGTAGTGCCAATAACAACAAAGGTACCAGCATCAACACTACTATTAGCACTATGCATCATCTTAAGAACACTTCGGTTCGTACGAATAATCGCATCCTCAAGAGTTAGACGAACACTCAAACAAAACTACCAATGCGCATGATAATAATGCTATTACTGTTGAGACAAACAATGATATCGTTAATACGAGTAATACTATTAATGATACAGTGGAGCTCACATGATACCAGTAATCGCAATACAAGTCACAGTGTTAAAACAGAGTACTATTAGTAGGAATGAGAACGACATGCGCCATAAGAGGAAGACGAGGGGGCAACGACATCCAGGGAAACACCATGGCCTCGGCCATGATACTCTCACAGCCCCAGCTTTCACCGCCCCCCTCGACGCCTGGTCGTTTTTGGGCCATGAATCGGGCCTCTGGCGGCCAGTCGGAATGACCCGGGCCCCCCCGGAATGCTCCCGGCGAGGCGCAGCCGCTGGAAGGCACCTCGAGGATGGAACACCGACGGGAACCTTCGAAAACGTCGAACAAAAAAAACGAAGCTTGAACCCGAACTATCCCCGTTGGCCGCCTCGGATCCATGTCGGATGGTCCCAGAGCCTGCAGACGGCCCCCGAAAGCCGCAGCCGAGGAACACCCGCTCATTGAAAAAATCATACCGTCGGAGACCTGGGATGTTCTCCCCTCCTGGGCATCTTCGGAACTCCAAAGCCGTGTGGTGACGGACCGCATGGTGACCTCGAAATCCCCAACGATCTCACCGCGCGGTCCATCACCGCACGGTTTTGGGACCTCGGAGGCCCCAGTCGCCAGAGACGTGCTCGGAGAACGACCCGAATCCCCGCCGTGCGGTGAGCCCGAATTCCGTCTGACTCACCACGCCGTGCGGTCACCATACCGCTTGGGGCCTCCCGATCATCATCCCCCTCTTGGCAGGATCAGTCAGCATTGAATCGGCAAATCGGACAGAATCGAGATGTGCATCGGATCGGGCTGCATCGGCACGGCATCGACATCGAATCGGATCGGCTGCGCCAGGACGCATAACAACGGCATGCGAACCTCGGGCCGCATCGGCTCGTCGGAACATTAGAACCGAATTGGATGGAGCAGGCCAGAATCGACATCGGATCGGATCGATCGGATCGCAATGGGCCCT